TTTCTTCCTGTTTTTGATATATGTAGTTTGATATGTCTTTTACAGAAACCCAGGAATGTGGACATACATACATATAATCCATCGTCTGATTCCTGTATCATGAAATGAAAGAATGTATCAAATGTAATTGACCAATCAGATACTTTGAATTGTATGTATATCAGAACTTTAGATTTGATTGGAAGAGATAACTAGCTAAAAACTAGTGTGAGCTGCATCTGTGTTTCTAATGAAACAGTAATGATCAAAGGGTAAATTATACACCATGAAAAGATTATTTGATTGGTCAACTGTGATTGCCAAGCTAACTGACTACTTTGTCTGATCAAAGCCAATTCCAATCTCATATGACAAACATGTTATATACAATCAACAAACCAGATACACGTACAGGATTAGATGCGTATCATATTTTTCTGATTTGTTGATAATATCAAGCAAGCTGGCTTAATGCTTCTTGGCTTACAAAAATATGGCTTAAAACTAATGTTTAAGTTTCTGAAACTAGAGAACAAACACTCAAACGGTGCAATACGTTGCACTATAAGCACTAAATAGCACTAATTAAACAATAGAGAATTGAATTACAGCACTATTTAATACTACTTAGGTTGCAAGCTCTAAGTGTTTGTACTGTAGGATAAACCCTGCGTAGTAAAGCTGGAAAAAAATATACTCTAAGAGACGTAAGCTTATACATGTACAATAATCCAAAATTAATTATAAAAATCATTAGCTAATTAATCAGACAATTATTTAAAAATAGGATTTCTTTAGCAAATAACTGTGAAGAGAACTATAATATGACTTTAAATCATAGCGCATCATGTACATGTAACAGCAGAATTCACGAGAAAAAAACAATATTTTTTTAAAAGATATCCAACGTGTGACAGAGAACTGTGTCGTGGTGTTAAACTATGACTTACCGGCGAATCAAAACAGTACATACACTCATCCTTATAAACCTTATCTCCGCCTCCAGGCACACGAATGCTACCTACATCTATGCGGTCCATAATCTCAGAGATCTACAGTTTTATAATTATTTTAAATAATATTAATGTAAACTTTCTTTTTAGCCTCTTATTCTCACTTCAGTTAACAGACTAATGGGAAAACCCGCTGGATGACGTTACCACGGGCTCACAAAGCACGAGGAGACTGGGAATAGAGCGCGTATAGACGACTACTTCCGGTTCTAAAATTGAAGCATTTCTATAAAGATCGCTCTCTATATTTTCTTAAAATAGGTTTCATTACTTAMGATTCTTATTTTCCTTTGTTGTAGGATAAGTTTTAGGTCGATTTTTGAYTTTTAAAAGAGCATTTAGAACCGGAAGTGCATCAAATTTCAACGACTTCCGGATTCTAGTAGTATACACTGGACAGCATGATTGCGGGCACACATCAAATCATTTACAAAAAAAATGTATGGTTTGACATCGATGAACTGAAGCCGAAAATACTCAAGAATATTGCACTTCTGAGCCTCTAATTACTGGTTAGGACGGTAAGTGATACTCATTAGGTTCAATTTTGCTGTCTTTTTTATTAAAAATGCTTGGACTTTTTATGTTTTTTACATTTCTAGTCGTAGAAAAGATTTCAGTTGAGGCAGACCTCGCCCATAAGAGTGCTCGTTTTCATGACATGAAACACGAAAATAAATATTTTTCTTCGAAACAATTAAACGATTATTGTAGTTTTTTTGGAATTTGAGAGGAAATAAGCAGTATTTTCAATCGAATGTGTTGACTTTMGAGGTTTTGAAAGGACTACCTCCACTTTTACCTAGTAAAATTACTTGCCACTTTGTTAAAAGTTTGAGGGGAGGGGTGGGGAGGGTGTAGTTATCGTTGGAGGTAAGAATTAGAAAAATAGGAGTAGCCGTTAAAGGAATCCTTTACTGCCACCCATATAGCTTATTTGGTAAGAGCATCTGTCTGTTGTG